AATAAAATAGATCTGAAAACCCAATCAAAATGTATAAAAAGATTGGGATCCAGGTGTTAGCTGGATCCATAAAGTTGGTGAACATTATGGGAAACATTTTAATGGATTAAATGTTAACCATATTTTGTAGGCTTTGCTATTATCTCTAAAGAGACTGTGGCCTTGATTCTCAGTCTGGATTAAGGGATACAGATTCTTCTGTTTTTTTGGGATAGGCCAGCTTTCCTTTATTCAGGTAGATCTGGTACATGCCGACACTCTTCCAGATAACATTATTACGTGCTTATCAGTTGACTGTGGCGTCAATGTCATATTTTTAGATAATGTTTTTAATTGATTTAATATTTATGGGTAAACATTTAAAATGCTTTAATATTTAGAAAATTATTTTAAGATTGATATACTACTTTTAATATTTGAAATTATATTAATATTTTACATGTTTATCCAAAATATATATCATTTGAAAACCTTATCCAAAAATATTACATCAAGGCCTATGTGTCAGGATAAATGCATAACAATTATTATATGCGCCTGTTAGTTGTAAGTAATAAGATTGTTTTATCGAAACCCTTCATTGCTTATGATTAGCTAAAGGGCATGGCTGTTTAAAGTTACGCCTTCATAAATCTATCTACCTTTGATATGATTGTCAACATTCCATCATCCCTTGTTTGGTGCTTTATTTTTAAAATAAATTTCCTTAGGTTCTATTTTCGTGATTTGCTTCTTGCTTTTAGAGGTTAATTTTCCATTGGTATCTTCACCTGCTGGAGAATGGGATTAACTGTTGATAAAGCATCTGTTTATGTAATGAACACATCCTGCTCTTCTTTGTATGTGTGAATATCTTTGTTTTTTTCCCTCTCTTCTTCCCACTACAGGTCTAGTCACTATATATGCTATTTTTTAATTTATTTTTTTGTACTCCTGATCACCTATATATTTTGTAGTTTTTTTTTATGGATGATATATAAAGACAAGATTTTTTTTTTTTTGTCCTAATTTTAGCAGTACCTCAAATGAATGGGAGTTAAATTTTTTCAGCTTGCTTTGGCAGTTAGGTTTATTACATTACTAATTCAAAAAAAATTTTTTCTTTAAATGTTTAATACTGAGTCCGTACGGTTAATAGACATAACCAAACCTAAATATTCTACATAACTCTTAAAATGTATGAAAATTACACACCAAGGGTATGTGCAATGTGCCTTATCCGAATGCAGTATCTCTACATTGTATGTATCATACTTTCTTACTACTCTCTGAATATTCTAGAACAGCAGATGTTAGAACTTTCTAAATAAATGGTAATATTAAAAAGGAATAAATTAGATGTGTAGACCTTTAAAATAGCCTAATTGAAATAAGATTTATAGTTAAATATTGTATCTTCGTTTTATTTTTGGGAAAATAATAGCCATAAATATGCTCAGCTGTCACAGCTCTAACATGATCTCATGGGTGGCAACAGTTGTTTCTCTTTTTAATGTGTTTAATTGTGCTGTGTTGTCAGAAGTGACATCATCTCTGGTGATAAAAAAACCAAAAAAAAAACCAACTTCGCTTCGTCCAGAGAGTGAAACAAGATTGGACAAGTTTGAATACCAACCCTGCTTAAATTAAAGCTTTATGCATCACTGAGCATTACCTAATTATATGAAATTTGTGTTTCCCATTCAACAGATGTTCTAAAATGCCCTTTCGCTGTTGGGGAGTTGAGACATTACATAGTAAAACAGTACTCAATTGTTCAAGCACACTAATCTGACCAGCTGAGAAGTCATCTGCAAAAAAAGAGTTCATATAAAAAAAAAATTACATAACAAAGATGCTCACAATATAATGCTTTATGCACAATTACCAGATTGTGGTTATCTATAAATTAATGTGAATTTAAATTGAATTACTATGGCACAGTCTTTAACTATGTAAGTATAAGCTATTAACCCCTCCACCACTCAGAATCTGAGTATTTAGGGTGTCCTGGGAAGAAAAGTTAACCTTCTTTTATGATTTCAGCATGCTTAAATAGTACATTATTTTATGGAAACAAATACAAAAATGTTGGTTTTGTTAACACCTTTAAGACCAAAGTCTTTTACATATCATTTTTTTTAAAGGTGAAATATTGCTTTTTGATACCTTAAATGTATACATAATGCAATATGAAATTGAAATATTAAAAAAAAAAAAAAATTAAACATGCTTTCTCATGTTTACATTTTTATGATTTCTGCACACCAAGTGCAAATAAACTAAGCTAACTTAAATTAAATGCTCTAATATCAGTCCTGATTGTTAAAATGATCAATTTGTCTAGGATTTCAATACGTGTTTAGAAATTATAAAAACAGATACTGGAAGGAGTGTATTATGGTTTTAATACTAAAACTTTGCAAAATTTAGCATGCTGAGGTTAAAACTTTAATTGTACTCACATAATCTAAAACCCTCTACACAAAAGTATACATTTGTAAAAAAGAGGCAATAATTAGAGTTGAGCGGACCCGGACTGTAAAGTTCGGGTTCGTACCGAACATTAGGTTTTTTGGACCCCGGACTCGAACACGGACATATCACTGTATGTTCGGGTTGGAGTTCGGTGTTCGGCGATTTAATGGCGCGTTTTGAAAGGCTGCAGGGCAGCCTATAAACGAGCGTTTGACTCGTGTGCCCTTAGAAGCCATCACAGCCATGCCAACTAATGGCATGGCTGTGATTGGCCAGTGCAGCATGTGACCCAGCCTCTATACATAAGCTGGAGTTGCGTAGCGCCGCACGCACATGAGCTCTTATTAGTGTAGGGAGAGGATGCTGCCGCTGATAGGGACAGCTTAGGAAAGAATTCTGCAAACTAGTACATTAGTGGGGTGGGGTTCACTTCATAGTCAAACAGAAGCTTCAAATACCGCGGTTACATCAGGGTTTGAAAAAGTAAATTTTTTTGGTGCTAAATAGTACATTAGTGGTATAGTACATTAGTGGGGTGCACTTCATATCTGAGAGTCAAATAGAAGCGTCAAATACTGCTGTCACATTGCAGTTTAAAAAATTATTTGGGTGCTAAACTGCTAAATAGTATTTTAGTGGGGTGCACTTTATATCTGAGAGTCAAATTGAAGCGTCTAATAGTGTGCTTACAGCGCAGTTGTAAAAATTCTAATTTTCTGGGTGCTAATCTGCTAAATAGTACATTTTGGGGCATGCACTTCATATCTGAGAGTCAAATAGAAGCATCTAAGAGTGCGCTTACTGCGCAGTTATGAAAATTCTAATTGTTTTGCTGCTAATCTGCTAAATAGTACATTCGCGGCCTGCAGTGCACTTCATATCTGAGAGTCAAATCGAAGCGTCTAATAGTGTGCTTACAGCGCAGTTGTAAACATTCTAATTTTCTGGGTGCTAATCTGCTAAATAGTAAATTTTGTGGCCTGCTCTTCATATCTGAGAGTCAAATAGAAGCATCTAAGAGTGCGCTTACTGCGCAGTTATAAAAATTCTAATTGTTTTGCTGCTAATCTGCTAAATAGTACATTTGCGGCCTGCAGTGCACTTTATATCTGAGAGTCAAATCGAAGCGTCTAATAGTGTGCTTACAGCGCAGTTGTAAACATTCTTATTTTCTGGGTGTTAATCTGCTAAATAGTACATTTTGTGGCCTGCTCTTCATATCTGAGAGTCAAATAGAAGCATCTAAGAGTGCGCTTACTGCGCAGTTATAAAAATTCTAATTGTTTTGCTGCTAATCTGCTGCTTACATTGGAGTTTTAAAAAGTCAATTTTTTTTTTGGTGCTAAATAGTATATTTGGGGTGTTACTACATCGGTCACTTTCACACCTACATCACTTGTTACACAGATCTAAGTGATAGAAAACAGATTTATATTTTCTACACTAGAAACTACCAGATAACAAGCGGCTATATTTAAACCAGCTATCAATAGCTAAGAGGTACTTAAACAATATTGTAATTCTGGGGCAATACCCTCACAAGTCAAACTGAGAGGTCAGTTTATAGGGAAAACTGTTGCCTGGATACAATTCTAAAACAATTTCCATATGTCCTTTGCAGACTTTACGTGCTGGAAAAACACAGGTGCCAACTGCGGTGGCTTTCTGCAGTGTGCATACCGGCAAGGAGGGCAGGGTTGAGGAGTGGGTGGAAGATGATGTGGAGGATGATGAGGTCCTAGACCACACATGGAATCAAGGTCATGCGAGTGATGTGTGCAGTTTGGAGGAAGAGGCGCTGGTCGCACAGAGGCACCAGCACAGGATAAGAGGGAGCAGGGTGCAAAAGCGGAGTCGCCATCCCCTAGCGCTCGTCGGCATGTATTAGCTTGAGAATTACCAGTTATCCAAGTAATACATGTAGCGATCAAAGGATCCATAATAGAGTTGAGCGAACCCAAACTGCAAAGTTCGGGTTCATACCAGATTTAACGATCCTTTCGTAGTTTCACAGTGAGGTGGACAGTCCGGTGACCAGGACCCAGACACTGTCTGGGCGGCGGTCGGACGACTGGGACCCAGTATGCCTGATGTTAAAGTTAGGAGTCACAGTGTGGAATGGATTAGCAGGGTCTGGTGCAGGGTGCTCAACCAGCTGGTGTTGAGCACCAGCGTTTGTGCGGCCACATACCAGGACCCTGATGCAGCTTCAATAAAAAGAGTACTGGATACCAGAAGCCATAACCACACTGATCCGTAACTTGGAACAGGATGTGACATTCACTGTAGTGGCTGTGCGCGCTTTTAGCGTTGTCACCCTGCTGCTGCTGCTCACCTGTCTGCGCTGCAGCGTAACTTCGGCCATCCCGCTCACCGCCTCATGAGACTGTGCGAGCAGCAGCAGGCGATAGTGGAGTTTCAGCTGCAGCACGCACGGGTCAGTGGCTCTGCACCAGACTTCCCTCCAATTGATCAGAGTTAAAGGATTTCAAGTGGACTCATTACAATTACAGGGCCTCTAAAGAGTCCTGTATTGTTATTTGTCGTCACTACCTTCCTGCGTAGGGAGTGGGTCATTTGCGCGCCTGCTGCCTTCCTTGCATGTGGTAGCTGTTTCTCAGGCTCCCTGTACGGAATGGAATCCTGATTCCCCGTTACCCGTGGTCACCATGGTAGGCGCAGAAACTGGCATCGAAAGTTGATATGGATGACATCCGCATGAAAAGTCACCGCCACGGGGATGTGCGATTGGCCCAAGGTTCTCTAGAGTCAACAAAGTGCCTGTACAACTATAATGTCAACAGCTACTTTGCGGAACAGAGTTGTCTTTTTTTTATATGTCCCAATATTTTGGGGGCTACCCCAATTAAAATATATATATATATAAAAAAAACACAGTGTTGGCTACCTCATCCTCCTCCTCCACCGCTGCTTCCACCTACACTGCCACAGTCACCGCCTCCACAACCTATGGGTCACTTAGTATAAACTATGTACACATTAGCAGAGGCTTGTGAAAGCCCTTTCTCCATGCATCAGGAGTTGAGCATTTCTACATGCATCAGGACTGCAAGAAATGCACCGCAGGCCGCAAATGTTTCTTTTTTTGTATGTCCCAATATTTTGTGGGCTACCGCAAATAAAAAAAAACAATAAAAAACAGTGTTGGCTACCTCCTCCTCCTCCACCGTCATGGTCACCACCTCCGCAATCTATGGGTCACTTAGTATAAACTATGTAAATATTAGCAGAGCCTTGTGAAGGCCTTTTCTCCATGCATCAGGAGTTGAGCATTTCTCCATGCATCAGGACTGCAAGAAATGCACCGCAGGCACTTGTCCTACTCTTACCCCCATTTTACTTGCTTTTGCAGCTCTCTAGCCCTTTTCAGGAGTTTTGTAGAGGCATTTTTGTGGCCAAAAGTTCAGGTCCCCATTGACTTCAATGGTGTTCGGGGTCAAGTTCGAGACCAAACCCGGACTTTTTTTCCAAAGTTCAGCTGAACCCGCCAGACCCGAACATCCAGGTGTCCGCTCAACTCAAGCAATAATGTAACAGGTTTCCCTTTAAACAAAAATCTAGCTCGCCTGAGCACTGACTAACTTTCAATTTCCCTCTCTATCAAGGGTGAAACTTAAACCTATCATAGGTTTCACCAACCTTGGTTAATAGCAACTCTCTGCACTCCAGTGCTCAATCACCTTGACTGCTCTCAGTCAGCTTGCTGCTTCCAACCTCTCAGGGAAATACCAAAAAGCCCCTTTATCTGCCTAGCAAGGAGGGGTTTATTCCCACTGCTGCAGCTGATTACCTGTAGCTGAGCAGTGGGTTGGAGACAATCCAAAACCCTGGTCTTGTCCTTATTTCTCTTAGTTGTATATAAACTGAGGAGTGGAACACCACCCTGCCCTACTCTCCAAATACTCCACCCCAGGGGCCCATAACTAAACTTTTGTTTGCGTTGCATACAATGCATACTCCCACTGGGTTTAAATGTCATATGCCTCTCTGACACACACACCTTTTACCTTAATGCTGCCCCTAATCCTACCCCTCATATTTTTCTCAAATCCAATTTTCCAACCTATAGTCCTATCTATAATTTAACCCCTTTTGATGCCCATAATCCAATGTTAATGCTGCTATAACACAACCCCAATCCTACCATAATGCTACTCATAATTCTATTTATAATCTCAATCCCACTCCCTTTCTAAAATCCCATCCTCTAATCCCACCTCTCAAGGAATTCCTTTTGCTGAGGTCAGTACTTAGAGACACTAGCATATGCAGGAATTTTTTTCAGGGGAGGGGGGTGATGTCATTGTAATGGCATCCATGCTCAGAACACAGACACATACAGTTTCTTTTTCTAATTCAGAATATTGGTTCCTTCAGTGTTACTAATGTAAATATATAGCAAGCATACTCATATGCAGACACAGCCAATCTCACTGAGACAAGCACACAAACAGACAATCTCATTGATACACATAAGCTCATTGACACAAAAACCATGAGTTGACTGATACACAGAAATAGACTCACATATGCTACCTATAGATAAGCTCACTGACATACACATGCTCACTACAGAAAAGCTAGCTGACACACACAAGCTCCCTACAGAAAAAGCTCACTGACACACATACAAATGCTCACTACAGACCAACTCACTGGCAAACACAAAGTGCACTACAGACAAGCTCATTGTCCCACACGCGCACACTTACAGACAAGCTCACTGACATATATACACACATGCTCACTACAGAAAAGCTAGCTGACACACACAGCTCACTGACACATACTGATGCCATTTACAGACAAGCTCGCTGACATATATATGCTCACTACAAACTCACTGACACACAAGTTCACTACAGACAAGCTCATTGACACACAGACACACGCTCACTACAGATAAGCTCATTGACACATGCTATCTACACACACACATGCTCATTCACTAGTAGGCACAAACACACTGTCATGGGCTGAAACCTACCTATCACAGATGTCTGTGGGAGACTGGGAGGTGAAGTCTTCATTGTTTGGTCTCTTCCTTCCGGTCAGCAGCACGAGTGTGGGAGCAGAGCCTGTGTGTGGGGCATGGCTTGTGTGCGGGAGGCTAGGCCTGAATGTGGGAACGGAGCACTGAATTGCTGTGTATTCGGAAGGAAGACTCACAGTACTCTTCTGGCCTCTGGCAGCCTAAATGTGGCTGTGCCAGCCTCCAACATCTCCCTCCAGCACCTACCTCCTTCTTTCCCTCAGACTGACACGAGCTGTTACTGTCTGAGGGAAAATTATTTAAAAGGCACATTAGGGCTTCCAGTTGGCCCCAGGTGCTGTGGTCAACCTGGAAATTTCCCGGTATCCCAGTGGGCCGGTTTCACCCTGCCTGTAGGGAGGGGCAAGTTGAAAAATCCAGGGGGGTGGGCAAGTTTCCCCTCTTTTTCCCCTGTGTGGACACCCATTACTGTGGTACTGTGAGTGTGACAAGTTGAATACCACAGTGATTGTGACAGGATGAGTGGAGGGTTGAGGATGGCAGGGTGAGTATTCTTGGTAACTGACATTGACTGTGACATCATGAGAGTAATTCAGTGTGGCAGAGTTAGGGAGTGAATGTGACAGGGTGAGTTTGACAGGATAAGTGAGGGGGTGAGTGTAGCATGGTGACTATGACAGGATGAGGGTGGTTGAGTGTGAAAGGATTGGTGGAGACTGACAGGTTTGGGGTGTGACAGTAAGTGAGGGATACACCAGGCCAGAGGTGATAATGAGCAGTTTTGCAATCTGAATAATTGGTTTAAAATATGCACAAAAAATACATTCTCAAAATCCAACTTTAACCCCTTAAGGACACATGACGTGTGACATGTCATGATTCCCTTTTATTCCAGAAGTTTGGTCCTTAAGGGGTTAAAGTTCCTACATTTACTGTATATTTTCAGGCTTTGCAATTTCTGCAGTGAGCTTTTGCCACAACAAGTTGTTCAGCCATATAATAAAATAAGAACAAATATAAGAGTATACTTCTCTCTGCATACTCATTTAATGGCTGGGTAGTTTGCTCAATCTAGCACTCTTGGTAACCCAGGGTGCTACATTGGGTAAGCAATTAAATCACAGAATGAATATGGTCAGACACTACATTAATCAGAGCAGAAAAATTCTTACTGTAATCCCATGGGACATCATTTTAAAATGAATATTTCCCACCTATTAAATGTCTAGATTTACCAGCTGAATAAGGCAATACCCCTCAAAATTTAGGGAAAACCGTTCCATTTTTGCTTTTCTACTCATTCCTGATTACCAAACGTTTTCTTATGTATCGTTAATAGATACATACTAATATTATTATTTCTGTCTTAAGCATGTAAAAGGTTCTGCCTCAAACATTACCATAATAAAATGTACATAATACTTTTGACTGTTTACAGTGGTATAATAGTTAGCTAGGTGTGGTTCTTGGCTCATCAGTGAAGAATCAATCTCAAATTCGGACTCCTCAGGTTTTAAAAACGATAAATCCCATAATTTTCTGGTCATCCTTTGCAGTAAAATAATTGTAATTTAAAAAATAAAATAAAATAAATTTTTTTACTAAAATAGGAAAAAGGGGGTGGGGGGAATTACATATAGGAATAATAACAATGATGCAAAGTAATGAAAACATTTATAGTGAAAAGGAATAGTAATAGTAAAAAAACAAAAAAAAAGACAAATGAAATGAAAGTGAATATAAATAAAAAAATTATATATTTATAGTGTAGATTGGATTAGCTAGATAGATATATATACCGTATATACTCGTGTATAAGTCGATCTCATGTATAAGTCGAGTGCAGTTTTGTGACCAACAATTGTGAAATATGCTATGCCTCGTGGATAAGTCGAGGGTAAAAATTGGGGCTATGAAATTCTGTGATTTTTATAATTATATACACACACACTGCATTATATACACACACACACGCTGCATCATACACACACACACACTCATGCAAACAATCTACATTATACACACACACACTCATACAAAAACACACTCTGCATTATATACACACACTCATACAAACACACACTCTGCATTATACACACACCCACACACTCATACAAACACACACTCTGCATTATATACGCACAAACTCATACAAACACACACTCTGCATTATATAATGCAGATTGTGTTTGTGCGTATATAATGCAGAGTGTGTGTTTGTATGAGTGTGTGTGTATAATGCAGAGTGTGTGTTTGTATGAGTGTGTATACAATGCAGTGTGTGTGTGTGTGTATACAATGCAGTGTGTGTGTTTGTGTGTGAACTGGGTGGGGGAGGGCATTTTTATTATTTTAAAATTTTAATATTTTAGCATTTTTTTATTTTTTACTTTCCTGCAGCTTCTGTCAGCTCCCTTCTCCTCCGGTCCGGTCAGCTCCACTGTAAGTCTCGCGAGAGCTGTGGGGTCAGAGCGTTACCACGGGTTACCGTGGCAACGCTCCGCGCGGCAGTCACACCGCGAGACTCACAGTGGAGGAGAAGGGAGCTGACCGGAGCACAGGAGAAGGGAGCTGCAGGAAAGGTAAGTAACAGCTCTCTGCCAGCCCCCAACAGGACTGCCAGGCTTGTAATGAGCCTGGCGGTCCTGGTCTGTATTATGGCAATGTAAGTTGCCATAATACAGACACTGACTCGAGTATAAGTCGAGTGGGGGTTTTTCAGCACAAATAATGTGCTGAAAAACTAGACTTATACTTGAGTATATATATATATATATATATATATATATATATATATATATATATATATATATATATATATATATATATATATATATATATATATATATATATACATACACATACATACATACATATACACACACACACTGCTCAAAAAAATAAAGGGAACACTTAAACAACACAATGTAACTCCAAGTC